CTGCTGCCCCCTAGTCGTCAAGTGAAGACCGACCTGGCGCTGACCATCTCCCTGCAGTACCCTCACTCTCTCAAGAAAAAAGGCAACAACTTACAGATCCTGCTGCAGCAGAAGCAGCGCCTTAACAACCAGACCATTCTGGGTTACCGGACACTCGCCATGGGCACTCGCCATGGGCACCATCGACATGGCAGAGGTGATGTAGCGACCCCTCGAGGGTGGCCAGATGCTGAGACTCCATAGCACCAACATGGAGGAATCTGCCCACGTGGCTGAGGTCAGCATCTCCTCCCTGTCCAGCCAGCCCATCGACCCCAAGGACAGCACCCAGCAGGCCGGCCCCAAGGCCACGTCCCAGGTTCATTAGTCGGAGATGGAGTATGAAATCTCAAAACAGCAGGCCAGCCATGATCTCGGGCATGGGCAGGACCAGGACCAGGAGGAGGGGGAGGACTTGGACATGGGAAAAACCAAGAAGCAACATGAAGGAGAAGTAATGCCAATCATGACCAGGCAACAAGCTGCCAACAAGAAAGTTGGGGCGTGGCTGCGCAGGGTGCAAATGTGGAAGGAGGTCCTGGACTCAGAGCAGGAGTCTTCGGAGAATGACCCTGAGGTGGAGGAGGACTTGGATCTGCTGTATGACTCACTAGAGAAATGTGACAGTGGCTCATGAGAGTGTCCTCAGGACCCTGAAGGCCTGGCTGAGGCCATACTTGGAAGACCTGTTCCAGCCCAGCTGTCAGATGGAGAGCTAGAGCACCCACAGTGCCAGCGCCAGGCGGAGCCTCCAGGTCCAACCCACATGCCTGAGAAGACAAGCCCAAGCCACCAAGGAACAGTGTCTCAGACTCGGTGGCCCACAGCACACCCGCCCCAGGGAGCAGCTGGCACAGCCCTGGGTCTCTCAAGAGGCAGAGACCTCTACCCTGGACATGTTCACTCAGAAGTTGCCACCCAGTGGGCGCATCACCAAGACTGAGTCTCTCCTCATCGCTTCCACCAGATCCCAGGGGGAGCACGTTGGCCGCTGGGGCTGGAGCACATCCCTGAAGGAGCGGCAGGTGGCGCAGCCAGGAACAAGCGGGCCAACAGCCTGGACAACAAGCACTGCCCCGACGCCCTGAGCCAGCTGCAGATCCTCAGGGAGACGGTGTACGACCAGCTGAACCACATCTCATCTCTGACAGCCAGCTGCCCCAGAACATCCTCCTCCTCAACGCCTCCGACTGGCAGGGCAGTTCCTGTCTGAGTCCTGCAGCAACACATGCTGCCCGGGCTGTGCACCTGCTCCAAGGCTGAGGTCCAGGCAGCCTTCAGCACCATCATCTCGCGGAAACAAAGATACCGTCTCTATAATTCCCAGCCCCCCAGCCTGTGAAGATCGTGGTGTCAGGGGCACAGCATTACTTCAACGCTGTACTGCGGCTCTTCCTGAAGCTGCTGTCCTACAACCTATTCCTCTCTCCCCCTGGCTGGGCTACATGCACTTCCTGGTCATCCTGCTGGGTTCCTACCTTGTGGCCAGGTACCTGGGCTCCGTGCATTACCGCTACAACAGCTTCATCCAGAACCTGCCCAGGCGGGACCTGTTCTACAAGGAGGCCCAGAGGGCTGTGCAGGACACGCTGCCCATGGTGTTGAGAACCACACAGTGCATCACAGGAGCCAATTGTGTCCACCAACTGCCCATCGTGGAGGCCACACTCACCTACAAACAGAAGAGCCCCAATGAGGAGTCCTTGAACATCATTCCCTTCGTGGGGGTTGTGGAGCTTGGTATTGTGAGACCATTCTGGGTCGCCTCAGGACACTCAGATTATGCGGCCCGCTTGGGCTCTAGAGTGCTGTCGTCCACCCTCCATACGGGTCTGCGGCAAACAAGGAGGCATCACACATCCTTCTCTCCTCCCCGTCAGTGAGAGGAGATGAGTCTTCCCTGAGCCAGGGTGTTGGAGCTGAGCTGATGGGGCTGTGGGTGGGTTCCTGGATGGCAGCCCAGCCCACAGACAGAAAAGGAGACTCTGAGAACAAAGCCCAGGCTCCCGCCAACAACACCCTCCAGTTCCCCTTCCAGTTTCTCCAGGTGAGCAGGCTGCCCAGCAGTGGTGAGGCTGCAGCCACGCCCTCCAGGTCATGGACAAGGAGAACAACAAAAGGTGATGTGTTTTCCCAAGAAAACCAAGGACAAGGAACTGGAGAACCAGAGCCAGTGCCTGGAGGGCATCAGCCGCCTGTTCAGCAGGGCCAAGCACCAGCAGGACACACTGTGGGTCCTTGTTGACGGTGTGGAGTGGAACAGCGTGGAGCTCCCATGTCAAGCACTTCCCCACCTGCATAGTCGGAAGCTCCAACCCCACCTTTGAGCCTGCCCGTCCCCTACCCTTCCCTCTGCCCTGGCCAAGCCCGGGAAGGATGAGCTGCTTTTCTGTTCACATTTCGGTTTAGCACCAAGACAGACTCTGGAAACACAAAGTGTCACCCTTTCAGTGTGAATAAGCTCATAACCTGGAAACTAACGTGGTGGTGCCCACAGGGAGCCCCCAACTGCTCTGCTTATTACCCAGAATGCTCTGGCAAGTGGGAGGTCAACAGTGTTGAGCTGGGCAATCATTGAAGGTGATGGTCTTCAGGACCCAAAAACTGCCATTGAGAAAGCTTCTCAATGTCAACACCTGCCCCTCCTGGAAGCCTGGACTCCGCTTTCCCGGGGAGTCAGCTTCACTTTCTGCCCGACTCAGTCCTGGCCTCCCATGGGGGCACCTGACTGAAAACAGAGGCTGGTCAGCCAGCCTTGGGCCCCACTGCCAACCATCCCAGTGGCCCCAGCACTACCCTCTCATGCTGTCCAATAAACTCCATCCTCATGAGGCAGAACAGAAGAGAAAAACCAAGGACCAATGTGGTACTGACCACCTGGGCACACTGACTGGACAAACTGGGCAAATACCTGATGCCCACCTTCCTGGGCAGGGACCCCACTTTTGTCCCCACCTTTCTTTGTTGTCATAGAGCATTTGCTACAACAGGAGTTGGATCAACCATGTATCAGGTGAGCTCCTGCCCCTGCACAGCACAGTGGTCATTTGGCCACTTGTTTGCTGTGAATCTTCAGGTCACTGCATGTCTCTAAGTGATTGTTCCCCAGAATGTGAGGCCCAATCAGGTTATTGTAGGGTCTCAGTGGGGTGCCTCTGGGTGCCTGGACAGTGAAGAGGTCTGCTGGAGGGGCTGTGTTTTAGCCAATTGGTCATTTTTTCATTCTGTTGACAAAGTCTCTGCCAAATTTGTGATTCTCCTCAGGGCTCAGGGCTAAGCACTTTTCTCATTAGATAAAGAGATTGGAGATCCATTATGAGTCCCAGTCCTGGGTGAAGCCAGATCAGAAACCCCAGAGTTGAGCGGTGGAGTTCAGACTCACCCAGCTGTCTGAGATGGGCATGGTTTGGGTTCATTCATTCAGCAAATATATGAGAAGGCCTGCCAGGTACAGACACGTCTCTAGGCACTGACGATGATCCAGTGCACAGAGCAGACCCCAAGCCTGCACTCCAGAGCTTCCTTCTAGTTGAGAGTGATTCAGTCACACTAGTCTGGACAGGCTCCTAGTGTCCATAGGACAGCCAATGTGACGTCCTCCTGGCCTCCTCTACCTATGGCTACATCTTCCCATGTTGTGAAGAGGACAGTGGACCTCTGTTCCAGCAGAAAACGTGATTTGACTTTGGATCAGAGCCATGAAGGGAGTATGGGACCTGAATTCTAGGTGCCGGCAGAACCCTGGATCCCACTCATGGTGGGATTTCTGCAAGAGGGCAGAGGTCTGAGGGCTTCTCCTAGGAAAAAGGGCAGGAGTCAGAGAGCTGTGCATGTGGACATGGGTGGTGTGGGCGAGTGGGGAGATTAGTGGACAGAGTGAGCCCCTCAGAAAACACACACCCTTCTGCTACTAATCCCAGCCCAGTCTGCACCCCTATCCAGGGACCTTGCTCACTAATCTGGTAGAACCTCCTCAGAGGCAGCTTGGCTGTTACTCTCTACCCATGGGAGTTAACTGTCAATTAGAGGAGAAGAACCCCACAGGGCAGCTAGTGAATTAGGCAGCATGTAGGAGTAGGAGCCAAAGTTTGAGGTGTTAGGAGGTCTCTGGACACCAGAGGTGCAGACGGATTTTCTTCGTTTACTCATTGGTCAGCTATTCCTGGAGCACCTACTGTGTGCCAATGAGTGACATGAACAGAGTGGAAACCATCCCTCCCTGTCCTCATGGAGTTGACATTTTGGCAGGAGGGTAGTAGGAGGGTACAGGGACACTGAGAGAGCATGTCAAGTTCCCCTGAAGAAGACGACGGCGGTTCCCTAATTGATGCAGAGCTGTCAGTTAGATGGGCTTTCTGCCAGCCCCTCCTGGGTGACCAGGCACATCTCTGCCAGGACTGCCAGGTTGAATGTGGGCAAGGGATAGGTCTGGCTCCTGGATGGGCAGGAGCAGCAGGCACAGGACCCCAGGCTCTCTGAGTGGTGCTCTGGGAGGGCCATGTGAAAAAAGGCCAGGCGTCAGAGCCTGCTGTCTGTCTATCTCTCTCCCCAAGGTCATCTCCTGCATCTTGGGCATCTGGCTGGACCAGCACCCTGAAGATTTTTATTAGCCGCCAGAATGTCCCAGCCTGATCATGCTTTTAGCCTCCATAGAGCTCACCTTTCCAGTCCCAGACGTGCCAACCCAGGCCCAGTATCTCCACTCACAGCTGGAGCACCTGAGCCCACTGAGGCGGAGTCACAGGAGGAGGAGGAGTGGGTGGTGTGTGTGAGGGGGAGGACACGTGGCTGCGCCACTAGAGAAGAACTCCCAGAGGCTGGGCTTAGGCAGGAGCACAGAGCCGCTCAGGTCAGTGCCCATGGCCTGCAGTCTGGAGGCCGTCCTGGGGTGGGGGCTTGAACTGAGACTTCAGTGATGGAGATGGGAGGTTTCTTCCTTGGAAGGCACACAAAAGGCAGTCATGGTGGTAACATGTTCTCTTCCTGGATCTACAGAAGCAGCTCCAGAGCAAGATGAAGAAACACCTAAGGAGGAAATGCCAACTCTGGTGCCCTCTCCTGAGCCAGAGCAGGCTCCAGGCACAGCTGCCACTGAACTTCCAGATGTGGACCCACCTGCAGCTTGTGAGCCAGTTGCCTCAGCTTCTGGGATGCCTGTGGCCCCAGGTCCTGGGAGGCAGCCTGTGTCAGCTGCCTCAGCAGAGAGGACTTCCTCTCCCCAATAATAGCAATTAAAAAACTTTTTGTGTTTATCTTGCACATACTAAGAAGTTTAGGGTATTTTTCTTACACTATCGAGTAAAATAAAATGTGTTTTAAATAAAACTTAGTAATATTATATTAAAAATAAATTTAAATTTTATAAATTTTAACTTTATGATCCTTCAAAATGTAAATTCCAACATCGAGTATATTCACAATTTTTCACAACTGTTCCATAACATCACAAACACTCTCTAGTTCCACAACATTTTCAGAACCCACATCCGAGGTATGTGTCCTGACCCGGAATCAAACCTGCATCCTTTTGGTGTATGGGATGACTCTCCAACCAATTGATGAGGCACCCTGTCCAGGGTGAGAAAGAGCAATATTTTCATTTGAATTTTTCATTCTGGTTTAAACTGCAGTTGAGTATCTTTCGCATGCTTTTGGCCTATCCCTTCTTTTGGAATTTCAGTTTGAGACCTTTTGCCCTCTTTTCCATTGGATTGTTCGCAAATCTGAATTGTCGTGGATATCACCGTTTTGCCATGTAACTTCCAAGTGGTTTCTCTAGCTTGCCATTTGTCTCCATTTGATATGTGTTTTGCCAAATAGACGCATTGCATTTTGATGTGGTCGAATCTGTCTTCTCTTCTCATGCTCTTTGATCTTGTCTCTCACTTTGAGTAAAAAACATGTTTTCCGTCTTATCGGGAAGACAGGCTAGGTTGTATTGTTCTAACAGAGCCCTAAATCTCCGTGGTTTGCAGCAGCAAAGGTTAATTTCATAGTCATAGTTAATTTCAGATGGATTTAACAAGAGCTCCTGTTTTTCAGATCGTTCATCTTTTTTTTTTCTTGTAAGGATGGAAGTAAAGACTTCCAAGGTCTTCTATGTCACAGTGGAAACCAGAAGTCAAATACTTATTTGACAATGGCCTGTGGTGGACATGACTTCCATTTTCCCCTTTCTAACAGCTGCCAATTTCCACATCCAGCTGTTTCTGGGGGGTGTTATTCAGGGCCCCAGAGTGGAGGTATCAGCACATCTAACTGGCTAGACCACAGTGATGATGGTTGTATGTGGACATGTGACTTCAGTGAGTTTAATAAGATTATTTATACTAGTGACCAGAAGAAAATTCTGGATGTTTTCAATGAAATTAGAGCAGCCTGTGAGTGAGAGAAATAGACAGAAGTGGGAACCAGTGGACTGAAAGTTCTTGGGTTTGATTCCAGTCAAGGTACATACCTCAGTTGCAGGCTAGATCTTGGCCCTGGTCTGGGCAAGGGAACCTTGTCCTTGGGTGAGGATTGACAAAAAAAAAGTTTTAGTGCTAAGAATGACACTGCCACTTGTATTAAAACCTCAGGTATGTTAGCTGAGTTCTTTAAGTCTTGTTCTTTACACGTGAAAAATGAGTTGCAAGGATAAAATTGAATAATAAAGTGCTTAACGTAAAGAGTTGGCATATGGTAGGCACTTAATATATATTGCCCATTACTATTATAAATACATATGTATGTAAACCATCATCAAGTGGAAATACAATGTGTCACATTAGCAAAATAATCTAAAGCAGTAAGATGTTAACAGAAATTGCCCAGGGCCTTCCAGCACTCTATTTCTCCATTTAATCACAAATGCATGGACTTACTCATTTCTGGATAGAAAGATAAAATATTGCAAAGGCACATACTCTCCTGAATTAATCTAAAATGTACATATATATATATATATATATATATATATATATAGAGAGAGAGAGAGAGAGAGAGAGAGAGAGAGAGAGAGAGAGAGAAAGAAAGAGAGAGAGAGAATATGCAAATTAGGCCGGGATGCTTTAAGGGTCACGACCAGACAGGAGGAGGTTGCCTGTGCAGGTGAGGCCAGGAGCAGAGATGGAGACAGACACAGTGGGGCCTGCCTGAGCCAGAGCGGACACAGGCAGGGGGGCAGGGGGTGCCTGGGGCAGAAGTCAGGCGCAGGTCAGGTCCAACTCCTGTGGCAGCCTTCAGGGTGCCTCCTCCCGCAATTTCAATAGAGCGCTGGGCCTCTAGTTTAAAGTAAAAATTATAATAGGATTTTGGGGAAACAAACACTGTTCTAAATTTTATCTACAAATAAATATGCAAACAAATCAGGAAACAGTTGAAAAGAATATAGGAAGGGGACTTGCTCTGTCAATTAGGAAGGACTCTCAAGTAGTATAGTCTGCAGCACGTTTACAGGCAACAGACATTTTTTTGTGAGATAAGAATGACAAGATGGAAACTATGTCAACATGCACAGAAAAATACTAGAGCAGCGGTTTTCAACCTGTGGGTCGTGACCCCTTTAGGGGTCGAACGACCCTTTCACAGGGGTTGCCTAAGACCACCGGAAAACACATATATAATCACATGTTGTTTTTGTGATTAATCACTACGCTTTAATTATGCTCAATTTGTAACAGTGAAATTGGGGGTCACCACAACATGAGGAACTGTATTAAAGGGTTATGGCATTAGGAAGGTTGAGAACCACAGTACTAGAGACAAATATACTAATATGTTGCATGTGATTGTCTCTGGGTGATGGAATCTGAGGTGATTTTACTTCTGTCTGTTTCTCAGTGGACTGAGATCCAGGACTTCTCCTGGGTAAGAATTACTCTTTCCTCTCAATGTCCCAAGGGCTGAGGCAAGGTCTTGGGGCCCAGAAGTCACGAGTACTGTCTGCCTAAGGGGAGATCATGTGGCTAAGCCCCCAGGAAGGATTGGCTTCCCCCAAGCTGCTCATTCAGATACGAATCAGTGAGAAAACACTACCCCCCAATGAGCTTGCTCAGTAAGTAACATTGGGTGTTGGATCTCCCTGAACAGTGTCTGAGAATATGGCTCTAGAGCGCCTCAGAGAAGCAGGCCATTGGATAAAGCCAGCATCCACTCTATTCTATCCATTGAGAGTTTGTCTCTCAGGGCCAGACCGGGAACCAAAGAAACCACCTCAACAAACTCTTTGAACACCAACTGACAAATGCATTTGCAGAGCATGCCCTGTGCTTCTCTGGGCACTTGAAGAAAAACGTGGAGGGAAATCCCAAGGTCCTTGCCCCCAATCAAGGAAGAATTCAAGCGATCACTTTTGATCCACAGGCGTTTATTCATACCTAATGGGTGTCTACTCCTGCCCTGGGCACCTAGGCACAGAGCGACCAGACATGGTGGAAGTTTGGTCCCCAGATCTCCTGGGACCAGGTCATAAACTTGTGCAAAGGGGAAATAACAAGACATGTTAACCTGGATTATCTCTGATCCCAGAGATAAGACCTGGCACCATGGAGCCCCAGGGAAATGTGGAACTAGGCTGAGAGGGAGCATCAGGAGCCCCCCACCAGGTCAGGCATGAGACTGCCTCAGGGCTCCCATCTGTGTCCTTACTAATGAGGCTCCAGGGAGGTTCTGCTTCCTCTTCCCTCCAGGTTCCTTGACTCAGATGTTGCATTAATCACTAGGAAGGCCTCTGCCATCCAGTTCCACCCACTTAGTAGGTAAAAGTTGGATTATTTGGAAGGTCTCTCTGAAAACCTGTTCCCCATCTCAGATGTGGGTTTCCACAGGGCGAAGGGAAATAATGGGTAGGGAGGTGGGTGGTAGCTGTTGTTTTGATTTTTGTTTTCTTGGTTCAGGGCTCCGTAAATCACATGCTTCAATTCATCCCACCTCCTCACCACCATTCCTTGCAAGACAACTTCCAGGTTTTATTGTCTCTTATTACCGCTAATCTCCATTCCCTTCCTCTCCCTCCACATAGTAGCCACTTCAAAATTGGCATGTATGCTTAAAGAATTTATGTCTTTGTATGTCTGTGTGTTTTATAGACACAGGAAGTGTTGTGTTAAAAATCCCATTGTGTTTCTTACTTTCTATGTTGACACTAATTTTTATGATCCACTCTCCTTGCTGTGTAAATACTCAAATCCCTGCTTGTTTTATCTTTTTTACCAAACCATTCTCTCTACACAGAAATTTTCTTAGTCTAAATTGAACCCTATCACTTTCTGCTTAAAGCATTTCAAAAACTTCCATTTACAATTAGAAAAAAAAAAATTGGAAACCAGCCTATGAGGTCTCCTTGTCGGCTCCTACATACATCTCCAACCTCAACCAGTGTCCTCCTCTTTCTTCTGCTCCCCACACTTCAGCCACACTGGCTTTCATTCAGTTTGCTGAATTCACAAAACTCTTTCTTTCATCTCAGCACCTTTGCCTTCTCCCCCTCCCCCACCTCATCTCTAGGATGGGCTTTCTCTTTCTCAGCCTTCAAGCCTCTCCTAACTGTGGACATTGGTGCAGCCCTTCTGGAGAGACTTTGGCAATATTAGTCATCTTGGGCCAGGTTCCCTGGCAGCAGTGACTCCTGGGAAGTGGGACAGAGTTTAGTGAAGGAATGACCTCAGAAAAAGAAGATGGAGGGAGGTGAGCAGAGATGTGGACTCAGCACATTATGTTCAGCCTGGTCTTGAGAGGGGATCTGGAAGAGGAATTGTACCCATTGAGTGAGTCCCATTGGAGGTAAGGAGCCAGGCTTATCTACCCAGTACCAGTCATTACTGGCCTCCCAGGGTAGTGGACTGGGAGCACCTACCCGCTCAGGACAGGGGAAGGGCCATCAGGAGCCATGAGCAGCCAACATCCACAGCAGCTGGGAGGGGGGATGGCTGAACCAGCCAGTGAAGTTGCATCCACTAGTAAAACCTAAGGTGTGTATGGCCTTCCTGCTAGAAATTCATTCTTAGCAACATACTCTAGAGAAGCTTCATTCATGTGCCCATGAAGGATACAAGAAAGTCCATTTCAGCATTGTTTATGATGGTGGAAAACTAGAAATAACCTAAATGTCCTTCAACAGGAGAATAAAGTTATCATAGTAAATGCCTAGTAAAGCGGTAAAACTAATGGACTGCAGTATGTGTGGCAATGTGGACAAATCTCAAAGCATGATTTGTGTGGAAAAGAATGTGTCAGGGTACATTCTGAATGATGCTATTGAAATAAAATTTCAAAAATGCAAAATCAACTCTAAATTAACTTGTGTGTACACAACTTTTGAGTAAAATTATAGAAACCTACTTAGGGACAAGCACGAAGTGGATGATAGTAAGTAGCTCTGGGGAAGGAAAACTGGGATGGAATCAGGAGTTCAAAGGTCTCCCAACTGTCACCCTAATGTTCTATTTAAAGACACACAGGCAATGGCAGAATTTAAGATTTAATAGGAACACAGGTGATCACAATTTATTCTACATAGATTTTATTCTTTTACATTTAATCCTTAATAGTCACACTTTAAAAATTACAGACAATATTCATGTGGCCCTATGTACACCTTGAGTGATACTTTTGGCTTTTTGTTTTCCCTATACTATCGTTTTACTTTCAGATGATAGCAGAAGAAAGTACACAGATGATCCATTTTCTCTGTTTAGACTCCATCACAGCACTTTGCCACATTTCATCATGTCACAGGAATTTGTTAGCCATGCTGTTCATATACAATGCAATTAACATCGCGTAAGGATATTTATGTCAGTGGGAAAATACTCATAAAAAAGGCTAATGTCCTTTAGGTGGAATTGACAGGATAAGGTTTGGGAACCCACTTATTCCAGGTGTCTCTTTGCTATCTATTCTAGCCAGTATTTCCAGTGGTCCATTCCCACCCAGTGATGCTGATCAGAAGAACCAGATTCATGCTCTTAGACTCTGAGGGGTTATATTTTGACACAGAAGGCCTGCTCTCCCCCCTGTATGCCAGCCAAGGAAATGTTATTCAAAAAGTGATCAGTTCAAGCTTGAGAATGAGAGGCCTATGTTATAGGTTCTCCTACGGTGATTCTTATGCTCTTCGGACTTAGCAAAATTATATATATGAATATTCAAATATATAAGAGCATATTTAATTTTGCTAAGTACTTCTAGATGGCCCTCCTGGGTGCCTGTACTAGTTTACACTCCCATCACAGCCCATGATGTTCCCATTTGTCCCATAGCC